TTGTAAGTTGTCAGTTGCTGTCAGCTGATTCTTACTTGTCGACAAAATTGTCGTATCATCGGCAAACATAGCTATCGTTATGGTGTCATTGTTATCATTGTTTGATATATCAGCTGTGTAAAATAGGTAAAGAATAGGTCCTAAGACACTATCTTGTGGTACTCCAGCTGATATATTTTTCCATTCGGCTACTGCTTCTTCATGTATGACTCGGAATTGACGGTCGGTTAAGTATGATTTAAGAAGTGCACACCAAGTATGTGGCAGTTGTTCACGTAGTTTGATGAGGAATCCTTTGTGCCAGACTTTGTCAAAAGCCTGAGCTACGTCAAGGAACACTCCACAGCAGTAATCTTTTTCTTCAAGGGCTTTACTTATCACGTTAGTAACGCGATGGACTTGATCGATTGTCGAATGTTTGTTACGGAATCCAAACTGATGGTCCGGTATAAGATGTTTTTCTTCTATAATTGGTTTTAGACGTTTAAGTAGAAGTTTCTCTAAGAGTTTAGACAAACTCGGAAGGAGGGATATGGGACGGTAAGATGTGACATCTTCTGGTGGTTTTCCTGGTTTGAGCAACATAATGACTTGTGCCCGTTTCCATTGTTCTGGAATGTATTCCATACGCAAAATAGCATTGTATATGTGCGTAAGATGAATGATGGCCTTCTTAGGAAGCTCTTTAAGTATTTTTGGACTTATTTCATCATAGCCTGGTGCTTTTTTGGGGTTTAAACTGTCATCTATTACTTTAGCAACTTCTAATGGAGTGAAATTTTTAATCTTTTTACGTGTTGTACTAAGCTGCGGACATTGTACAATGTCAAGCTCAGAGTCTATGGCGTTTGGTAGAAATACGCGTTCAAGATGTCGAGCGTATATTTCTGCTTTTTCTTGTTCACTGCGAGCCCAGGTGCCATCTTCTTTGCGGATGGGTGGTACCTGAACACGAGGTCTCTTCATATGTCTTGTGGCTTTCCATAACGAATAATCGGTATTATCCGTTGCAGAGAGACCACACACGTATGATTTGAAAGTAACGTTTTTCATCTCTTTAATTTTGTCATGACGAATTTTGCTTACACGGTTCCATTCAGTTTTATCTGTTGGATGTCGTGTATTATGCCATGTTCTTCTCGCTCGGCGTTTTTGTTGAACTAGATTTTTTATATCCATTGGGTAGGTAATCTCGCGATTATCACCTGTTGGTATTATGGGTGTGGCCACTTTCGCTGCTTTTACGATGTTATTAGTCAGTTGTTCAACAGCACTATCAATTTCAATAGGTGTTCTTAGTCTTACTGTGAGCATTAAGGTCTCGTCTAGATTCGCTCTAAAGATGTCCCAATCTGTTTTCTTGTTGGTTAGCAACATCTTTCGTTGTTTATGTATAACATTAGAACTTAACGTGAGAAGCACTGGTATGTGATCTGACGTTAGTTCTGTAAGTTCTATTACTTCGATATAATTAGAAGATATACCTTTCATAATGAAGAAGTCAAGCAGGTCGGGAATCTTGTTCGGATCAGTGGGCCAATACGTTGGCTTTCTTGTTGTGATGATTTCAGCGTTGATGTTGTTTGCAACTTTTAACAAGGCTCGTCCCTTTGGGGTGATCAATCTCGATCCCCAGTGTGTATGCTTAGCATTATAATCACCTCCAACAATGAATCTAGAACCCAACGTATGGAAAAATTCAGCGAACTTAATTTCATCTGCACCTCCTTGCGGTGGGCAATAAACTGCAGTAACGGTGAGATCGTTATTCCCGTCATTAACGCGGACGCTTGTCGCTTGTATATGATTTACAGAGTATTTTTCGAGTTCATAGTGCTTTATGGACTCTTTTATTATTACAGCAGTACCACCCCGAGCTTTACCACTGGGATGAATTGTCGTATATATTCTGTAATTCCTTATCTTTAGATAGGTCCACGTTGTGAAGTGAATTTCCGAAATAAGGGCTATGTCAATGTTTTCACTGTATAAAAGGTCTTCTTGTTCTTGTCTGTGCTATACTAACCCGTTGGTGTTCCATGCTATGATCCGCAGTGTGTGGTTCATTTCTTTATTTTGTGCGAGGTATTTTTGGACTTTGTCTGGTTTATTTCCAGTTTGTCCATTCTACAAAAATCACAGCAGATTTTTGTTAGTGTCAGCGTTACGTTGGTTAACGCGACTAGAATATCATTAAGAGTAGTGGATTCTTCGTTTTCCTTTGGTTGAGGTGTTTTTGTATGGACTTTTGAAGTACTAGCCATCTGCGAGTATGAAACGTTTGTTGTGACAGGTTTCTGCTGTATTCTTAGCACAGCAGAGACTTGTTTTGGGTGTGCTCTTTCTATTGCTTTCTTGTAAGCAGAG